ATGGAGGTCTTCTGCCAGCGACTGGACGACGAGTTCGACGCCACGGTGATGATCACCGCGCCCAGCGTCCCCTACCGCGTCCGCATTCACGGCGAGAAGAACCTGAAGGCGTACGGCACCGACGAGCTGCTGATCACCAATGCGGCCAGTCTGCCGGCGCCGCAGATCATCAAGACCTACTTCGAGCCGATGGTCAAGGGGACGATCATCACGCCTGACCAGCACCTGAACGCCATCACCACGCTGTGCATGGAGCGGCGGGGTGAGCAGCTGAACAGCTACTACATCAGCGACAGCTCCATGCTGCTGGAGTACCTGCTGCCGTTGAGCGAGGTCATCATTGACTTTAACGACCACATCAAGTCTCTCTCCAGCGGCTACGCTTCCTTCGACTACGAAGACGCCGGCTTTAGAGAGGCGGAGCTGGTGAAACTGGACTTCAAGCTGAACGACAAGCCCGTGGACGAGCTCTCGATGATCGTCCACCTGAAGCGGGCGCGCCTCTTTGGGCGGCAGATTGCCGACAAGCTGGCCGACCACCTGACACGGCAGCAGTTTAAGATCAAGATCCAGGCTCTGGTGGGGGCGAAGGTGGTGGCCCGCTCCAACGTCAATGCCTACCGAAAGGACGTCACGGCGAAGCTGTACGGCGGCGATGACACCCGCCGGAAGAAGCTGCTCGCCCGCCAGGCGNGGCCCGCTCCAACGTCAATGCCTACCGAAAGGACGTCACGGCGAAGCTGTACGGCGGCGATGACACCCGCCGGAAGAAGCTGCTCGCCCGCCAGGCGGAGGGAAAGCGAAAGATGAGAATGGTGGGCAACATTGAGATCAGTCCAGAGACGTTTATTAACGTGCTCAAGCGGTGATTCGAAGCAATGACTATGTATGTGTGTAGGGGTGTGTTAACAGGCCTAGTGTAGTAGGTAATAAAACTATAGCTTCCTGTACAGTAACATAGGGAAATAACATTACTTTTTGTTTCAGATCATTAAATAAAAGGAGGAAAGAAGTAAAATTAAAGAAAGAGGATTTTAAAGGAGAAAGTGAAGAGAGTACGCGTGGTGAAATTTGCTGCGGGTGATTGGTGATTTGATTTCTCTCGCGATTCCCATTCTATGTGGTCTTTTTGTTGAGAGTGCTCGGCTNTTCCTGTACAGTAACATAGGGAAATAACATTACTTTTTGTTTCAGATCATAAAATAAAAGGAGGGAAGAAGTAAAATTAAAGAAAGAGGATTTTAAAGGAGAAAGTGAAGAGAGTACGCGTGGTGAGATTTGCTGCGGGTGATTGGTGATTTGATTTCTCTCGCGATTCCCATTCTATGTGGTCTTTTTGTTGAGAGTGCTCGGCTTTTTGCCTACCGCGGCGGATGGACCGACGAATGAGCTGATCTTGGAGGCGAAGCCGAGAATGCGTCGTTTGAAGGCCTCCTGCTTGGAGATGCCCGGGTAGAGGGCGATGGCCAGCGTGAAGAGGTACGCCAGCAGGAGATTGTGAATGAGGCTGCCCAGCCAGGCGACAAAANTTTTTGCCTACCGCGGCGGATGGACCGACGAATGAGCTGATCTTGGAGGCAAAGCCGAGAATGCGTCGCTTGAAGGCCTCCTGCTTGGAGATGCCCGGGTAGAGGGCGACGGCCAGCGTGAAGAGGTACGCCAGCAGGAGATTGTGGATGAGGCTGCCCAGCCAGGCGACAAAGAGCAGACTGCACATCAGAATTCCATAGTAAGTTTTTGTGGAGGTGCGCTTCATCTGCGCAAAGACACGGTAGGCGTTGGAGAGGCGGTCAACCACTTCGGAGAGAGTGCGACAGATGTGTTCAAACTTGGCCTCGTTCTCTTGAATCCTGTATAGTAGGAAGTAGTTGTAGTGTGTTAGGGAAATATGTGGAATAATTGCTGTTTGACAGATAGAACTTACCACTTTGCTGAGATCATGCCATTGACGATTGGCAGTGAAAAGTCGAGCAGGACGGCGATGATGGCGATAATGCAAAGCTTGGACAGCACCGAGGCGTCAATGAGCCAGAACAGCCTGGAAAAAGAAAGCAGTTCTGTTAGTTCTTTGTTAGAAAACAAAAAAGCCAAAGTCTTACATGTAAACTAAGGTGATCGCAGATCCGACCATGGGCGCGTGATATGGTTTCTCCCAGTTCAGTATTGAGTTCGCCATCAGGACGATGCCCGCGATCGGGCGAAGTCGCTCGACCACCTGAAGTAAAAACGGTGGTCAGTTGGTCAGGAAAAAACAGAAAAAATCTAGTTTTCATACCTTTGACTCGGATTTGTTTTCGAAAGGAGATTGATTCATTTTAAAATGTGTTGATGATGTGGTGGGATGATGGGAGAAGATCAAAATTGCCAAGTTGGGTGAAAGGAAGAAAACACAGTGAGAATGATCACAAGTGCGAGGCGAAGACTGAAGCGAGAGAAAAGACCAAGAGTTTCACCAGGCGCAATGACTGGCAGGAAGGCAGCAGCTGCAGGACGTTTTATGCCCACACTCTATCATACACACAAAACAGTCAAGTGCAAGCTAACAGGAGAGGCCAACAGCATCAACTGACAGTTGCTTATCGCTATCGCAGTACAGCTGCTGTACAGCACTTTCTCAAGGATCAGTTAGTTGATCG